TTAAAAATAATTTGTTTATATTATCCTGTTTTGTTGCCTTCCCTTTAATTTCTGATCTTGGCAACAAAGACAATGCACTATAATCAATTATAACAAAAGAATGCCATAGTATTTAAGAAATAAGCTTGACTGCTCTAAAATCTAAGACAACACAATTATTAAAACTACAGGTCTGTTGTAATAGGATGTAAATGACAGCTCAGTTAGCCCAGGGATGGCGAACCTCTTTGAGTTTTCAATGATGCAAACAGCCTGCTGTGGCACGCGTGCCATAGGCTCGTCACCAATGAGTTAGCCTCTAAGTAAGGACAACCTAAAAGAGAGTTGGCTGGATTAAAAGAAACTAGCAAATGAAGAGCTAATTTAAGTCATGGAGCTAGTTAGACTTAAAAATGTAAAAAGCCAAATAACAAAAATAAAAGTTAAAGTACAAATAGATAGATAAAGACTCTTCCTCCCAGGAAGAAATATGCCAAGTTACACAGAGTGTGCTAAGTTAGTCAACAGTTACTCACTAATATCTGGGCTGGAATAATTTAGAAAGCAGAGTTCACGGTTTCCAGCTAAGTAATTGATTTTTTTAAATTCTACAAATCCTCCCACACTCTACTTATCTATTTAAGGCCAAAACAAAGAAAGCACGTCAGCAATTCCACTTCTGGAGTCTCTTTCTAGTGGGTATCTACTAAGAGCTATTTTCTTCTTATTTCCAAACAACACTTTCCTAACCTCCTTTTTCTGTTTGTGATTTCACTCTTAAACTTCATGAGAAGCCCAGATTTATAAAAAATTGATTGCTTCACTATCACTAGATAATGGTAATAGGTAACTCGAGTATTTTTAAATTAACTATAGAGGACTAAATCCAGAATCATTTATCAGCAACACCTATACTTTCAGAAAGCAACAAAAATACAAGAAAATGAAGAATACACTTGTATTTTAAACCCTCAATCAGGAAGTTCCATCTAGTTAAACTTTTTAAATAAGTAACTTTGTCAGTTAATTACTATCTTTATACTTATTGATCTGCACCGTGAGCAGCTAATCGTCACCACTTTTTGTCAAAATCACCAACTGTAGAGGAACTAAAATAAGAATATGTGGCCACTATTGTTAAGTTAATATTTTTCTTTGTGCTCAGAAATGAGTATCAAATAAATCAATTTATTATAATAAATATGATAAAAGGAAATAGTAATACTTCCATTTATGAATGTTTTTTGTTCAGAAACAATTCAATTCTCAAACAAACACGTTCAACAAAATTTTGCTTTCATTCACAAACTCCACATTGGGTGACAAATACAACTGCAGCTGTCTTTCCTAAAATAGTAAACCAAATTAAGTTTGTGAACTGAGGTTCCACTCTATAGGTATTCGATAAAGTTCTTCAAATTATTATATTTTAATCTTTCTTATCTATAGAAGCTTGAGTCCTCCTGGAGACAGGGACCAAATTTAAGTATCCTCCTTTATTGGACCACTTTGAGCCATTCTGTAGATGGAAGGGGTGTGGCGATAACCTACAGAACAAGAACAGATTGTGGTGGAGAGTTCTGGAAGGCCTGAACATGACAGCAAACCATCCTCCTGTGATTATAGAAGGAGACTGTCACTTACAACCCTAACACTATGTATCTCCCTGTCACTTCTTAGTTCCAGTTATCTGAAACTTAGGCACAAATCAAAAACAAGTTTTCTGTATTCAGTGGGACAGAACTCAACATACCATACACCTTTTTACAGGACAACAGCCCTTATAGTTCCTTTTTGATCCCAACATCAGGCAGCAACTACTAGTGTGGACAGGAACAAATGGATGTTATCCAGTTACAGAGATACTTCCATTGTCAGATAATAATTTCTGCAACCCTCACTCAAGCGTCACAACAAATCTTTGCGATTTCCTACCATTTGTAATTTGAGAGTGGAATCTCCTAAAGGCTCTATATTCATGGTTGGAAAGCCTCTGTTTTCTATACTGCCTCTGAGTATATTCCACAGCCGAGTCCTCCTCAAGCTCATGGTGCAGTCCATGCCCTGCTCCAGATACAACTACTGTACCAAAATGCTTCATTCCTCTTCTTACTTACACGGATAATAGATCGATAGATAGACAGACAGAGAGACAGAAACAAATCACCCAGAGAGGACCTCTTCCGACTCTTCCATCTGTTATGAATGCCCACTCTTTGCCAGTTTCACGTCCAAAGGGTAAAGGCCTGACCAAGAAGTGGTGTAGACTGCAATTTTCTCCATTCTGGGTTGAAGATTACACCATTTTAAATCTGATAGTCAAAACAATAAGAATATTGTCTTCTTCAATGAGCCATTAGGGAATTATGGGAAAGAAAGCTGAAAATGTTTGAAACCTGAACAATAGTTTAACTAACTTAGTTATTACTTTCTGTCAGCTCAACTATTATCACTAGGATTTTCTAGGTGATATCTAGACCTTTCCCAAGAACGCTTATTCTTATTCTCTTACCAAAATTTCTGGCACTATTTCTCAACCTCTTTCAAGGTCCCCTCCATGAATCTTTTCAGACCCTTTTTTCCTAATCATCTTCCCTATGAAATATTAACATCACAGATACACTATTTCTGAGGAATACAAAGTATTATAATGTCTAAGACTTATTTACTTCCTATGGCTCAACCTCATCTCCTTAGGGGCATCGCTGACCATCTCTGAGAATGCATTTACATTCAAGAAATATCTGAAACTAAAATAAAGTTTATTTTAAAAAATAACAATAAGACAGAAACTTCAACAGGCAAGTACCCATGGTTAAACAAAATCAATTCTTAAAATAATTATCCTTCGCTCCCCTCTTCACATGCATGTTTCCATCTTTCTCTTCTGATTTTCAGTGAACATCTTTATGAAACTTTTATAAAGATTAAAGGCATGGTTTATTTTTTTTTAAATCTGCCATTTGAAAATGTCTCTAACAACATTAAGAGTGCTAATTCTTTTTAATCTACATAAAATGATTTTAAATATCTACCTTTTTCTCTTTCTCAGTCTTATTTCTAAAAGGAGACTGCTTTAAGGAAAATATCAAACAATTTGAACTAATCAAAATGTGTGGATGTGTACTTTTAGAGTAACTGAAAAACAGCTTTAGCTATTTATAAAGAAATATAAACACAGGGTAGCTTCCAATATTCTGATGAAACAAAGCATTTCACATATTAACTAGAGGGACATACAGAGTTTTAACAGTGAAAACTAAAGTGAAAATATTCCCTTCCAAAAGAAAAAATCTTTTGAGCTACATGACTTGATTTTAGTCAGAATCTCAGGTTAATAGGCATTGATTATATACTGTTCATGATCTGGCCTTGACTTCGTGTAACTGATACATGTACTTAGGAAACTAAGGATTACAAAATTATGGCTTTGAAATCATGCATTTTACTCTATGCAACTAAAAGCACATATAAAAGTACAAACTTTAGCAAGCCTAAAAAAATCAACTAGGAAAATATTTGTCTCTTATGGAAATATTATGGAGTAAAATAAACCATAAAAACTGATTGTAAGCCTAATCCTATTTTAATTTTAATAAGCAACTTTTGTGCTTTAAAACAGTTATCAAATGCAAGGACCCGAGTTCAATCCCCGGTACACAAACAAAACAACAACAAAAGTTATCAAAAATTCACTACTGGAATATTTTACATAAAACATTTACGGTATTAAACTGACTGCGGCTTCCCACACAACACATCTTACAGCTTCAGGATATTTGAGCACGCTGAAATCCAGTCTACTTGTCTCCAGAAAATATAACAAAGTTTGTTCTTGTTTTCTAGATAGGGTCTCATTATGCAGTTCAGGCTGGCCTTGAATTTGTGGAAATCCTCCTGCCTCAGCCTCCCAAGTGTTGGGATTACAGCCTCCCTAGTGCTGGGATTACCACGCCTGGCCAAAATTTCTATTTTCTTTTCAAGGTCCAAACATTTTTCAGTGAAGACTAAATTAAAGATATACTACCCCCAAAAAAACTGATTAGGGAACGAGGCGGCTCATACGAATTTATCTGAATAATAAAATGTTGCCAGCTCAAACAGTGAAAGCATTAAGATCAGTATTAATCTCCTTGGGGATGTGGGGGAACTTTATACAAGCAGGAGAGGGTGGTACTGCTGTAGGAAGAAACAAAACTTGTAGGTCCGTTCAGGTACAAAGCAGAAATAGCTGCAAATGTCTGGGAACATCAGCTGCAGGGAGCTATTCAAGGTTAAATCAACTTCAGATGTTGGTGGGAGCCCCAGAAAGTAAACAAACTCAACCTAGAGTCTTTAGGACCCCATGACCCAGGTGTTCCCCTGAATCAATAAAAACACTCGCATCATCTGGGGACTTTGTGGAAGACAGCTGTTTCAGGATAAGTACTCCTTGCAAACTGCTGGAAAGTCTCAGTGCAAGGAAACTGCCGCAGAAGCCAGGTCTCCCTGCGGTACACTGGAAACCTAGAAGCCCTTTTAGATTGTTTCTGACCCAAGTGAACTCCTCTGGGAAAATCACTTCTCTTAAAATAAACCGTATACGAACGAATTGTCACTCTGCTCCATCTTTGAGCACAATACTGATGTACAATTCCTTTCCCCCACGTAAGGAAGTAAATATCACCCAGACCGGGCCAGGCTTCTCTCCTCCATCTATCACAAATGGCTGATCTTTACTAGTTTCAACTTCAAAAGGTTAAGAGTTTGCCCAAGGGACGGCACAGCCTCCAACTTTCTCCAACTGTGAGATGAGGCGCCCCGAGATGGGCCACCTGACCCGTGCTATTTATTCCCCCGTGCACGCGCCCCAAACCGTCAATCTCCTTTGGGAGGGAGGGGTTCTCCTAGGACCGGGAACAGGCAGAAGTCACCACCCCAAACAACGCATTTGGTCCGAATTCTCGAGAAAGACTGGGGGTGGATGGTGACTACAACACAAGTGATCTTTCTTGATTAAAAAAAAAAAATGAGCCTCTTACCATCTCGCCTGTGATTGGCATTGCGAAAAGCTCTGATGGATGCGCTCTGCGGAATCGCGGAGGTGTCCCGACAGCTGCAGAAGTTTGCGCAGATTAGCGTGTAGACGAAGACGAGCCGGTGCATTTGGGATTAGAGACCTAGGAACAGTGTCGCTCCAAGAAAAGAACCCGGTTTCTACTCCGGGACTGACGCCGCGTCGCCTGCACTCTCGCTGCCTGCGCTCACCCAGCGCTGGCCTGGCAGCTGTGCTAATTGCTGAGCTTTCCCCAAACTTCCTGCATGCTGAACTTTAAGAGAGCCACGGGTGCCTCACTTCCTTGTGGTGCCGAGTTGATAAATGGTGACGGGACAAACAACAGGTTGGGGTTTGTTCGCCCCCTCCGGTGGCCAGCTGGTAGCAGCACAAGCTGCAGGGGGCGGGCGGCGCCCTGCTCAAACCGTAGCGCACCCTTCTCAAAAGCAGCCGAGCGCAGTGTCCTGGGCCAGACCTGCTCCGCCACTGAGCATGCCCAGTTTGAGAGCCAGGCAGGACTCTCGGCAGGACCCAGGGCTTTACTCTAGTTGGTGGGCCAGGAAGGTGGCGTGAGACAAAGTGGCTGGAAATAAGTGGGAGAGCGTAGAAGTCCGCAAGTTCTCCAGAAGTGATTAGTGCATTGACCTGAAAGCCACAGCTCTGGCCTTGGCGATAGTGATAGCAGCGGGATTGGGAAGGATGAGTTGGGAGTACTTATTTACTGTGGCCAAAATCAGATTCTGCAGACCCAACACTTCATTAGATGTACAGTGGAAAATGCAATAGCAAAGGAGCTGATTCTGCCTCCCTGCCAAAAAACACACACACACATGCCCTGTCAATGTGGCCATAGTTGAGTCAATCGTAATTTTTCAGAAGGAAAAAGAACCCATTCTTCCTGTCCGAAGAGCTGTGGTTGGGATGGTCCTATGCAGTGACATATTGCACAAGTGCAACAATAGGTCACCGAAGATGTTTCTCCATATCCTACCCAGATTATCTTTACAATGGAAAAAGACCTGTGAGCTTGACTCACACGAGGGCAATCTAGGTAAGCGGTGTGAGAACTCTGTTTTCCTTTGTCTTCACAGTTCCTTTAGAAAGAGGCACGAGCCATTCAGATCTTTGGGTTCCTCCCTTCCCTCAGTGCCCGAATTCTTAGCACTGCAGAGGAGCTGTCTTTAGGCTCCAGAAACCTCTGCACAATTAATCTGTTTCCCCAAGGAAGGTTAACAAAATATAGACTTGACAAGTTACTGTACCATGCATCATTGGTTAGAATGCATCTGTTCCGTGGACATACTAAAAGATCAAGGTGTTCATCGCTATGGCATTGTGACCTACAACAGTGTTTTCCAACACTGCAGGTTTATGGATCATGAAATCAACACCAGCATTATTTTTAATATAATCAGAATGGAATATAATAGTTTAGAAAGGTCATTGGAGGTAGTAATAATACCGTTTCAATGGTGTAGACACACATAGGTGCACACACACAGCAACATAAAAGATATTGCTATAGAATATGATCAAAAAAGCTGGAAAGCCACTGCAGCAAAAAGGTCTAGTCATATGGTCTCAAAATATAATCAACCTTTGCAAGAGGCACTAAAGAGAGGCAGAAAATCTCAATTTGCATTTAATTGTTTACTCGTGCAACAAGTATTTATTAAGCATTAGCTTTTTCTTTTGTTCCAGGCTCTAATATTACTTTTTGTGTTTTTGGTACCAGGGATTGAACTCAGGGCCTTGTGCTTGAGAGGCAGATTGGGTGTCACTGAGCTAAATCCCCGGCCCACTAATTTTAAAATCTTGTGGATGAAACTTTGAACATCAAAGACAAGTACCTAATCCCTTGTAGCCTATACTCTAATGAAATTGAATCCATTAACAAGTAAAAATGTATCTATATTAGTAAGAGTATAGAAAAAGATGGGCTAAGAGTAGGGTCTAGTGAAAATATATATCATTTTTTAAAAAGTAATTAGAATGCTCATTAAATTTTATGGTTAACTTTTGATATTGAGAATGACAAAATATGTTATTAGGAAGAGTATCTAAAGCTAAAATTTTCTCTCAATATTTTAACTCATATATTAAAATTATAGTATTTGTTTACAGTAGTATTGTCCAAGGTACTAATATTGTGCAATCCCAAGGCATTATGAATTCATGACAACACATATTTTAGCCAAGAATTGTAAAAGATATAACATATAATCAACCTTTATCATCAGTAAATTGCCAAATTCAAGAATAAAACAAAAACCTAGGCACTTGATCGTAACCAATTTATAATTTATAATTATATTATAATTTATTTATGATTTATTTTTACAAATTAGGTCAATTATACCAAAGAAGGTATTAGTGTATGAAGAATCGGTTTTTAATAAAAATAGAAGAGTGAGAATAATCTTGTACAAAAATAAAGATAAGATTGTTTCCATTTATTTTTCACGTGTATCTCAGACTCAGTTACCAAAACATTCAATTAGACACTACATTTTAAATACTTATGAGTTAGACAAACATGAACCATCTTAATATTAGATTTATAAATATTTATTAACATTTCAGACTAATATAAAACAACTAGTCTATATTTAGTTGTTGTTCAATGGCATTTATACAACTATAAAAAGGTGTATCTATTGTTTAGAAAAATTGAAAAAGTTATAGTAATTTATAATAGGCCCACTTGTAATAGCATTTACCATCCAAAAAAATACTCTGGCAATAAAGATTCTACCAAAGGGTAAGTTAGTATGATATGTCACTATTTTTATCATGTGCTCTTTTCTTATACCACCGGGATCCAAGAATAGCTTTCTCCATTGTATTTTCAGTTATTCTTAGCTTCTTTCACTAACAGAAACCACACTAGAAAAGGAATGAAAAGTGGTACGACCTTTTCAAAGCTCTCTCCTCTCTGTGAGTGGTTCATTCTGGTGTTATTTTTTGTTTTAAACTAAACTTCCACTGATCTTTAACTTTTGATTAATGCAGGGCCTTTCTCTTGATAATAGTTGCATTTTATGAAGCCAACTTTATTCAAAGATGATGTTCCTCTCTTGTTCATTCTATACTCACTAGTTTTTAGAAAAACAATGGCACTGTGACACGATATCCTAATTTCTGCCCTACCACTAGACTACTGAGCTTGTTCGGTATTGAACTTTTGCAGGGCTTCAACCCTTCCCCATAAAGTGACAATATTGTACTGGATTACTTTCAAGACTTTTTTTCAAAATTCTGATTTTTTTTAAATTTCAAAAATTATGCCTTCCCTGATAATTTTTACTGTGTTCTACACGTGTAGATTTATCTAGCTCCAATATATTTTAAACAGAAACTTTGGTTAGCTACAAGAATAAAAGATTTCTACAAATATTAATGAACTTTTATTTTGAAATTTCCAGAACATATACTATACTAAAGTGGTAGTTCCTAGGTTTTACATCTAGTATTAATAGTTTCTTTTACATTCAAAATTTTGTTTTCTCAGGCCAGGGATTTAGCTCAGTGGTGCTGCCACCTGCCTCACAAACTCAAAGATCCGAGTTCAATCCCCAGTACCAAATTAAAAAAAAAAGTCTGTTTTTTTAAAGAAATCTGTTGTTTAATTGTATAAAAATATAGAAAAGGAGGGTATGTCTTAGTTGCAGAAATAGTTAAATAGATGAAATACAGTTGGTTAAAATTATTATGTAATTTAGAAAAAAGACAAAATTAACTGATACCTAAAACAATAGCAAAATGATTTATATCTATGATTTTACTCAGAACTGTATTAAATTTTATTTAGTTTTGAAATTAAAGAAAGTGTATGAATATTCTATTGTCAAAGAATGAAATTGAATATTCATAAGGTAACAGACTAGAGAAAATGATTAACTTCAAATGAGTTGAATGTCCTACAATATTAGCACAGTTATGGGCTATTTTGTATTAAGTATCTGCAAAATCTGTTAATTTATACTGTCTCATCTCATTGATAAATATCACACCTTTTTTTATAATCCATACCATGATTTTCTCTTAACAATTAAAGTCATTTGTTAAAGTTTTTATATTTGCAATTGAATTCTTTGCAAATTTATTCCTATTATTTTTAATAGTGAAATAAGTTGTACAAAGACTTTAATCATCTTTTTTTAAAAAGGCATTGTGTTCTCTGCATATTACCTTCATTCTATGCACCATGGTACTGACTTCCTTCTAGTTAGGTATTTATCTTTAAAACTGTAATTACAATGGCATATACTAAATATTTACCATAAAAATACAAGGCAATGAGAGTGATGTTTCTTTCTGTATTATAGACTTAAAGGCAGACTGATTTGTATTTGTGGGTCCTAACAAAGTCATACTACATATCAGTAGAATCATGAAACCAGGTGTTCTCAATCCATACTACCCACTATTGCTCATTGTATATATACATCATGTCTGTATAACACCACACATATTGCTTAGAATCCTACACAGCATTGTCACATACAATTTATATAGTTCTGGCACATTTTGAGCAGTAACTTTCACATTTGATCATTTGGAATTGGTCATAGTTCATAGTATCAGCTTGATATTTTGCAAGTAATAGGTCCAATCAGCCAATTAGGTAGTGTATTCAGTCAAGTGCTAAATTAGCCAGTGATTCAACTTTATAGAATTAGCCACTGAGTTCTTAGTTGTAAAAGAATCCCAATATCTATATTTTCTTTGCTCATTGTATTTATTTCCATTTATACATTCTTGAGTTGCATTATCTAAATTTAAGATTTGAAAAATGAATATCTTGCCTATTCTGCAGGATTTCTTCCTTAATTGATCTGGGATATATTCCAGGCTTCTTTTGAAATCTGCACTTTCATCTTTATAAGATGGGCTTACATCCAGTTACTTTAACATTTCAAATTCTTTCTTAGCTTGCCATTTTTTAAGCAAGAAATTGATTGATATTTGGTCTTTAAGTGTTCCTTTCCTTGAATGAAACTTTTTAAAAATTAATTTTATTGGTGCATTTAAGGTCTACAATATAATGACATTCATTGTTGGAATTTTGCACCTTTACATAATCAATCTTGTTTCTTATTTTTCCCCATCCACCTGCCCTCCCTTCAACCTCTTCCTCCCTATCTACAGACTTCGTTTCAATTTTTTTCATTTTCTCATCTCAATTCCACTCCCTTCTTTCCTTTCCCTAACCCCTGAAAATTTTAATTCTATAAAGAAAATATTTTCTTGTGTTTATGTCTTTTGGAATTTTATATTACACAATTCTCTTTTTTATTTAAGCAAATAGTGAATTTATTAGCAAGATAACATGAAACTTTTTTATTCATTTTTCTCTCCAACTAATTTAAATCTTCAGATATTAATTCACCTCTATCGAGGAATAGCCTTTTAAAGTGAGATTTGGTCTATCTTTTGTGTTCTAAAATCCTTTTCTGAGTTCTTGCTCTGCACTTTAAAAGAAACAAATGTA